CTCTCTCTCTCTCTCTCTCGCGCGCGCGCGCGCGCGCGCACTGTTCTTCCTCGCTTGTCCTTGTAGACTACAGGCCTCGCTCAACTATTCACCACATGCGCAAAATAGTAAAGTACAGAAAGATATCGCACCGTATCTTAACGTCTAGCTGAAGATTCATTCCCATTTTGCACATTTGGTGAGTAGTGGGGCGCAGCCCTGTCTAGGACACTGCACGACTTCAGTGATACTCGGTGCCCCGTTCGAATCTCCCTCGAGTCTCTCCCCCCTTTCATCTCGCATCTCTCCTGCGGCTTTCTCCCTCGATGTGCGTCCCCAGACTTCCCATCCATCCCGCCTTTCTCAGTCCACCGCTTCCACCTATATTCTCTGCCTCGTCTCTCCCCTTCCCATCTCCCCTCGGACTTTTTTGCCTCCAAATCTTAAAATTTTAAGATCGCGGGGCAATCCGGGGCGTTGGGCCGGTAGGACCGCGAATGGCCTGGATCGCCGCGCGATCTTAAAATCTTAAGATCGCGGGGCAATCCGGGCCGTCGGGCCGGTAGGTCCGCGGACGGTCCGGATCCCAAATTTTTCACATTAGGAACTTTTATAAGTGTAGGGAGCATCATGGCTCTCGGTTCTGACGATCTTGGAAAATCTCTGACATTTGCAGAAGCTCTCTGCGTTCACTGACAGTTCTCTCGACCAGGAAGACTATCCACTCGTCCACCAACCCCAAAATCAAGTGTCGACAAAAGAAAGCATGTCACAATGAATATCAATCACTTTCCACGATCGCACGACCCAGATTGGCCACGACAGGTAGTGTCAGAGCCCACAGATGTTAAACTTTAAACCACCAGTACTTCCTAGAGTCGTGTCTGTTGACGCACCACGATTTTGGGAAACGTACGGGCTACTACAGGAGCGCCCAAATTCATCCGACTAGAAACGTCTCTATTCTATCTTTTCCCGCGGCCAATAGCTGGGCCAAGTACTGGTCGTTTAATAGTATAGTTAAGATAAGTGGATGGCTGTTTACTGACTGGTCAGCAGACCGTTTGGCTCTACCGGTAGGCTGCAAAACAGTCCACAGTTGGGGTAGGCGGTCAACAGGTATGCAACCCTGAAATCAGCCTTAAAAAGAGGAAAAAGAATCATCCTCGTCACATGCCTGAAACAGGCACTGCACAGTAGCTGGTGCCAAAACTATGCACACGACAGCAGTCCGAGAGAGATGGGACAGCGGTCCGAGAGAGATGGGAAATCAATTTCAAACATTCCAAGGGTATTTTTTAAATCAGCTGAACATAGAATCATCATCCGCACAAGCGTGGAATAGATCACCCATAACTGATAACATATCCACAATTCCAGCAAACTTGCTAAGCCAGCAGTTCCCACACCCTCAGAGGCAAAAAGGAGATGCTAGGGATCACAAAACTCACCCGACGATACCAGATGCCATTCCTTTCACAAATCCTGTAGCTCCATCCCTTGTTGCACCTTCAAGTGGATCGTTCTGGAGCAACACATAGTTACTTAGCACCAGCCCACCATGCCACCACACAACCTCTCCCTCCCTCTCTCTCTCTCTCTCTCTCTCTCTCTCTCTCTCTCTCTCTCTCTCTCTCTCTCTCTCTCTCTCTCTCTCTCTCTCTCTCTCTCTCTCTCTCTCTCACACACACACACACACACACCCACACACACACACACACACACACACACACACACACACACACACCACATGCACACACACAAATCAACATGCACTTCCAGGACAACAATCAACATGGAACCCTTTACAACATCTACAAGTCGCAAAGGTCAAGAATGCTTATAGACGAGGCAGGTGCATAACTTCGCAGATACGCCACATACTGTGGCCACTACAAATGATGGAATGCAAATATCAAAAGATGTATTCACACTAAAGGCCTCGGACTGCCCCGAGATGTGACCAGCACGGAGTAGATCACCAACCATGCTTGAGGCAAACCACTAACAGCCACTACAAAGGCATCCATGAGAAAGCACCTACGAATCATAGGGGCACTCCATCGGACTTTGCAATCAACCAGACCACACAGTGAGTGCCTGAACCCAGATCCTAATTCCTGATACCCAATAAGATGCGTACGCTCACGAGATGAGAAACACCATACTTCTTATTGCCAAAACCTTCATGGAATGGGCCTCCTCGTGCAATTTTCCCTCTAAGGACACGACAATACACATGGAAGCCTTTTGAGTGCTATACGCACAAAAGAATGACCGTGGACATTTTTGGCACATATTTTGGATTCTCTGTTGTGTTTGAAAGTTGAAACTTGAAACACAATCGTATGTAGGTCAGTTGGAAGCTAGTTTGGGACTGTTGTGATCAAATTGGTTGTCCGCAAGAGGAGTGGCACAGCATTACTCCTGAGATCTTATCATCATCCATTGTTTCAAGAGGTGGATTGATGGGGGAGTGATATCTTCATGAAAATACTTCTGCCCATGCTTCATGTTTGTGCGATCTTCCATTGTCGTCTCTGCTTGTCGCCACATCAATGAGTTTATGTTTATCAATGGGCGATGACGCACGGCACACAAAACAAAATGCATGCATCTTCCTGCACAATACGGAAGGATTTATTAGCTGTAAATAGTAACAAGCGGATGCCCACCAAGTCCGCAGCGGAAGTCACGAGCAGGGAAAATAAAATAAAATAAAAGTTGCAATGAAAATGACTCTTCCGCTTTTTCCCAAAAAAAAAAAAAAAAAAAAAAAAAAAATCCACCAGAGAATGGAAATGGATGTCAAAAACTTTGACAGAGTGCCTCTCTCCACTACTCAGCAGCGGTGCAAAATGAGAATGGATCTTCCCCTAGTGCACAGGGAGATACACCGGCATATTTTTTGCCTTGTGTGCATGTAGTGAGTAGCGGAGCACGGCCCAGCCAACAGAAGTTCCTTCCAGATGGGAATGCATCTTCCGCTAGAGCACAGGGAGATACACCGGCATATTTCTTGCCTTCTGTGCATGCGGTGAGTAGCGGAGTCGTAGCCTCCTCTCCCTCCTCAATCGTAGCTGCCACCTCCTCTTTGGCATCCTCTCCCTCCCATAGTAGGGCCCTGCTGGAATGTTATCGTCCTCGTCTCCCTCCTCCATCATATCCCCCACCTCTTCTCCGTCCTCCTCCATAGTGCCAGCCTGCATCGTAGCGTCCTGCTCCTCCTTATGCCCCTAGTGCCCTCCCCGTCCATCTGCGGCCACGCTCCTCCTTTATCTTCCACCATGCTCCTCCTCCAGTCTCCTCGTGGTTCTCCTTCTCCTCCATCCTCCTCGCAGTTCTCCTCTTCGTCCTTCTAGATCGTGACCTCCTCCTCCTCCTCCTCCTCCTCCTCCTCCTCCTCCTCCTGTGTCGTAGCGGAGATGTGGCCCTGTGGCCCTCCTCCGCCGTACCGTCCTCCTCCTCCTCGTGCTCCTCCATCGAAGTGTGCCCTCCTCTTCTTGCTAGTGCTCCTCATCCTCCTCCATCATAGCCTCCCCTTCCTTTTCGTCATCTGTTGTGGCCACGTCGTCCTTCTTCCTCCTCTGCGTCACGGCGCCCTCCTCATCCATCCTCTTCCACCCTCCTCTACTGCTCCTCCTACTCCGTCCCACACAAAATGATAACAAGTGAAACACACCCCTCCTGAAAAAAGAAAAAAAAAAGAATTTAAGACGGTGAATCTTTCCTATGTTCAAGCTCAAGATTCATTCTCATTCTCCTCATTTGTCAAGTGGTGGGGAGAGAGGGGCGTAGGCCCTTCCACGCAAAACGACAAACAGTGAAACACACCCCTCCCCAAAAAATAAAAAATAAAAAAAAATCAGGCGGCGTATCTTTCCATGTACAAGCGCAAGATCCTTTCTCATCCTCCTCGTTTGTGAAGTGGTCGAGAGAGGGCCGTAGGCCCTTCCATGCAAAACGACAAAAAGCGAAACACCAAAAACAAAATCAAAAAGAATATAAGGCGGTGGTGTATATTTCCATGTTCTAGCCCAAGGTTCATTCTCATTCTCCTCAAGGGCATGTGCCCATTGAAGCACAAAACAAACGGATCGTGAAACCTCCAAATCTACTGAAAACAAAAAGTACACAAATCTACTAAATAGACAGAACCAACGAATCTACACACCGCTGCAGTATCTACTTGTATTCGAACATGCACCGACATGTCGTGCCACATGAATTTGTGATGGCATTTCCTTCCCCCCCCTGTCCGAACCGCTTTCCCAACACTGGCAGCCGGGCCTCGTTACGCGAGACCTGCTATTTGCTTAAAGAAGAGTAAGGGATGAACGTATTCTGCCACCTTCTGTGGGCCGATGTGCTGCTTTTTCTTGTTTCGAGTGCCATGCGCCAAGGCCCAATGAGAACACAACGTGCATTTGATCTGTGAGTCCTCTCCATGGTTTCCTGACAAAGTGTCAAGTTAAAACCCTGTCCATCACACATGATGGCGTACAGTTTCTAGCTTTCACATTCTCGTCTTATTGATTAAATCAGCAGGATCCCACAGGTGGGATGGCAGCTATAGCTTAAGCATCGATGGCTCAAAAGAGGACGAGGAGGAAGAAACATAAGCAAAAAGAGGATGAGGAAGGAACTTTGTATGTAGACACTGACCACAAGGTGAGTGAACCCATCGAATAGTTTGGAAGCGAATCCGCCAAACCCAGATATCACTCCCTCGCCAATATGTCGTGGTGATTCCAACCCTGCACAGTTAAAACAAAGTACCCAGTTAGGGGGGGTGTGGGGGGGGGGAGGAGTAGCCAGTTAAGAACAAAACACAAACAAAAGAGAACCCAGTATCGAAAATGAAATCACTTGGAAATCGGTTTCTAAAATTCCAAAACGATCCTGTCAGCTAGCTCAGTAGGTTTCATGCCTGAGCGGCACTGCGTAGGTGCTTGCGTAGGTGCTGGGTTCTTTTCCCATTGCCATCGCTTTCGGTGGCCTGAGGAGAATGGCCAGGCCCAGTCAATGCTGGTAGCTCGCTGGGGTGAGTTGTGCCACCCAGTAACCCAAGGGAATGCCGGAGTGTCAGGCCAGGTGGAAGTGGCTGCTCAGGTCCCGCTGCGGGTGGTCGGGACACAACCAGTAAAAGAATTCTCAGTCAGAATCATCATAGCTGACATTCATGGCTCATTGCGATCCCTATCAGGGTTGGGACTCTCAATTTCACGATACTTCAAGAGGCTTTAAACCACCGGTACTTGGCCCATATGTCAGCCGCGGGGCATTGTCGTTAACGCCCCACAAGTTTTGGAGGCTCGGGGTACCGGACCTGAAAGGCTGATGCTGCTAGCCAAAACAACTTTTTTTTTGTTTCGCTGGCAGGTCGGCGCAAAACGGCGCGCAGGGCATATTCAGCCTCGGCATCGATAGCTGGGCCAAGCACTGGTGGTTTAACTCTAAATACCTGTCATAAGTTGGGAACAAACCAAAAAAAAAAAAAAAAAAAAAAAAACACGTGGGACAAAAGGAACCCAAAAAAACAAAACACAAAAAGACATCCTGGCAGTCTTCCTCGAGGAATGCCTAGAACCACCACTATGTCTGCAGTTGGTGAAATATTGCAAAAAATACGTTTAGGAGAGTCGTACATCCAGCTGAACCATATTTTCAGCTAACCACGAGGAAGCTGCAGTTACTCTTTGCTGAAAGGGTTGGAACAACTCGGAGTAGAGGATTGTGTTTGAAAGTGCATGCAGTTGTGCTGGAAATCACTAGCATGCAACCGGGCCTCTAGTTTTTGTTTCTGTTGCCGGCCAATAGCACCACACCGTTCTCCTTTCTTCAACTACCACAGGGGCCCAACCAACTGGAGTCCCAGGCAGGAAAGGTGGAGTAGGCGAGGGGAGCGAACCCCTGCGGGCAGGCTCCTTCCTTTGCCTCCAGCTCTCAAGCTGGTTTAGGGTCAGGCACCGCTGGTGCTAGGTTCGTGCTTGGGAGGCATGAGACTGGTCATAACCATGGTCAAGTTGATGCTTTGTTGGCATGAACATAGCACCCGTGGGGCTTGGCCCTTTTCTACTGCTTTTCAATACAAAGGAGGAAACAGTTCCGGCTGCTGAGAAATACTGTAGTGAAAGTCCAAATTGGGGTGGAAAAAAGCAAAACACACACACAAAAAAAGTGTGGCGTTGTTCATGTAAGGTGGTGGTTTTATAATTCCTCGCTTCTTAAACCACCAGCACCTCTGAGCACTCTTAACCAACTGGGTCGTGAGGGTGTTACTTCCGAAAATGAGCAATGGGTCTCAATGGCAGAGCGAATCCTAGCAGGGGAATGCTCAGGCGAGACCCAGTGATGTGCAGGCTGTGCATGCAGCTTCTATCATACCAATTCATTTCCCTTTGGTATTGAGAGGAACGTGGGACCTGCTGGTTCCTGAGGGAGTGGACCGCCCAGGAACATGGTACATTCCCCGTGGAATCTTCCCTGTGATGTGCTGGCTGTGCATGCAGCTTCCATCATACCAATTCATTTCCCTTTGGTATTTCAAGGAACATGGGACCTGCTGGTTCCTGAGGGAGCGGACCACCCAGGAACATGGTACATTCCCTGTGGAATCTTCCTTGTTGTTAATATGGAAGCTGGTAGGATACGACTCTGCCAGCAATCACACTGGCAACAGTGGCCTCGGAATGGATGTAGCAGTGCGTTGTTGGAATCATCCAAGGAGGGAGAGAAGCCGACAGAGATGTTAACTCGGATCATATTTTTTTCTGCACTGCAGACAGGATGGATCACCGGTTGCCACTCTCTGGGATAGAGGTTAGCCGGTCTCTGACCTTAGGCTGGATCCTGTATCTCGGGGATGCTTCATCCTTCCCAGTCCGCGTGGCCTTACAAGATCGCAAGTACACTTTTACATCTCAGACTTGTTTATACCTGGGAATCCCTCTTTCATCGATGGACACAACAGAAAACTCTCACACCACAGAAACCTGCAGCGATGCTATGGCTAGTCTGTGATAAGCTGGGATCCATACTTCGCGGCCTCACGTACCTTTCGGAGTAAAAGACCCAAATTTAGCCCCGAAGCACGGATCTTAGCGGGTCAAGAAAAACCGGGTCCATTTCTCATTGTTGAGGTTAATGGCATGTATTTTTCAAGGTTGCCCCTGTCCTTCGTTCTCCGCGCGGACGATTAGCGATCGCCCGGAGAAATCCAAGAAACACTTAGGAGTTCTCCACGCGGACGGTTTGCGATCGCACGGAGAAATCCAAGAAACAGTTAGGAATTTTGGTTGGCGGCATTTAAATTTGCCTTGTGCTAAAGCCCACACGACCCTTTTTTTTTTAATTCTTACACGGCGCGTAAGCTCGGTTCCCGCAATGTGTGTGTGTGCCATCTTCTCCTCTAGCTGAGCGCTTCTCCCTGCATGTCCTTTCGTCTCCCTTAGACTCTACGCCCAATCGTCCTCTTTCCCTTCGGGGCGATCGATTGGTCATTAGTTGGGATGGACGGCTCAATGCTGCGAAAGAGCTTGGACGACCACCCCAATTGAACGAGGAATACCGATTACCCAGCCTCCTTTGATCCTGCTGGAACCGAAGCTCTTTCTCTGTCCTGCTCATCTACATCACTTGCTGCCCGCACCACACGCCAGCACCCCGCCGCCTTCCGCGCTGTAAGTTCTCACAGCTCCTTCCTCTCCTCCTCTTTGATCTCGGCTGCAATGATGCGCTAGCTATGCACGAACACCACGGCGTCGAAAAGGCTTGACGTGCCCAAGTGACGGGCGGAGTGATGACATGAGGTGGGATTAGCGGTAGACTTGGGGGTAAGTGCAGTTGGAAGGACTGAGCGGTGGTGGAAATAAAACGTAGCCAGCGGCAGGGCCTTGTGGCTATGGTTGGCTGACATTCTGGTAGGTTGGAGACCGTTCTTGTGGAATTTTGAATAGTGAGGGATTCCCTCTTTTCTCCATTGCTGCTTTGTCCAAGAGTTATGTGTGCAGTATGCAGGACAACCCGACATGTGGCACTTGTGCACGAGAGAGAAGAGAGGGAAGAGTGGGGGACGATTCCCCACACTCAGGGATAGCGCTAGGAATCGGCAAGGGGCAAGGAAGGCAAGGGGAGATCAACACACCCATGCATACAGGAGACATTCGATACCCCCGCACCTTTCCCCTGGGTTGTGCATACAACGCTTTACATCTGTGACATCACTCCACATCGATACATCCATGCATCTTGGACAACGAAGCACTCAGCATCCATAGACCCTCATAACCAACGTCGTAACCTGAGGCATCGGTCGCGTGTGTCTCCGCGCGTCGCCTGATCTGTTTGCTACCCGGCCTTAGCCATTTTGTCCGAATAAAAATTTGGTGACTAACGACGTTGAGTCCTTGAACTTGCATTTTGTTAAGTGGGAGAGAGTGGGGTGAAACCCATTAAGATTTGCATGGAGTCGAGATCTACTACGCTACACGTGAGTGCGGGTAACTGCCCGTGCTCGACCCTCTCATCGATCCGTCGCAACACCCTCCCACCATTCCCGATTGCAGACGAAGACAATGTGTACTGCGATGCGGATGTGCGAGGTGCGTTGTTGCGAACCGACCGGGTTCATCTATACAACCCGCCCAAGGCTTGTCACATAGGGGGGAGTGGGTTTGTGCTGATTGACTGATTTTCTTCCCCACCCCTGATCCTACTTTATACTGATTTGGCAGTGCTGCCTTGGTCGGCGGCCCACGCCACATGGTGGCCCCAATTTAACTGTCACTGGTGTCGGCAAGGAAACTCGTGTTCCGGGATACGAAGGATCAGCTCGGTCCCCAAAACTATCCCGCAGAGTGAGCGTCCTACCAGCAAGCTTCCGAGCCTGGGTTCCCCCAACCCCGCCCCAATCGAGCGACGACACTCATGGCCGACCCCGCGGACTTGATGAATCTGACGCAGAGACTTAGATGCTCCCTTATCTCTTGGGTGTTCGCAATAGAGTTGGCATGAATCCGCCACAAGAGAAGCGGTAGGTTCCATGTTTTCCCTGTTTTCTTCCTGATGCCTAGCGGCGGCTGCGTCTCGCACATTCCCTGGCCTCCGACAAAGTGGAATTTTGGTCATACCCCGCACATTGGCCATGTTTTGGTCACACCCTGCACATTGGCCCTATCTACCCCTTGAATCCCTTATAGTGTTTCCTCCTAACCCTCTCTGTCGACCTTAATTTTTGAAGTAATCTCAAAATGAAGCGAGAATCCCCAATTCCGTCCGGGTGATTCAACCCTTGCCTAAAATCCTCGACCACACCCCCAATTACTCTGATCAAGCGTCCCTCTGTATGAAACGCCGCACATGCCATGAGATTGAGCATCACAAGTCTCCTTGATGCAACTCCATCAGAGGTCTGGCTTCTCAGACGTAGGATGGAGCTGCGCCTACTGTGTGGGTGTGACGCCCAACCTCACGCCCTGCGCGACTTCCTGATCGGAGTGGGATAGGGGCCCAGAAGTGCGAAAAGGGGGTGTGCCAAGGATTTTAGGAAAGTGGGGATGGGGTCCCAGGTCGAAACTGAGATCTCCGATGGCAAGTTTAGGGACAATGGTGCAAGATGGTACGCGAAGACCGTATCTGGCGTTTCGTCCTTCGAGGATGGGATTATCGTCTTTGCCAATTGCGTCGCCGCGGTCGGTCCCTTATCTGGTGGACCGGTGGGACACCATGGTTGTTGCGTTGTTCGAACAGTTGTCGGCGCCGCTCGTAACAAGCTTCGGAATCCAACGAGGCTGGCCTTAAGCGGAAGTTGTGTAATCGCCGCTCGGCTTCGGTTCGGGTTCGTCGGATAAATCCCGAAGCCCGATACACCTGGTACCACCGGCACTCTTCGCACGATGTGCAGGGCCAATAGCGACCTATGGAATTCCACAGTACCATTGTGAGTTGGTAATATGGAAGGAGGAGATGGAAGGGAGGGAAACTGGTATCAATAACGACGAAGCCCGGAGATATGTAATACCGAGTGTTGTTAGCATTCGGATAGTCTGGGCCCCTAGGATCGCTAGTTATGGCCCAGTGAAAATCCCCCGCGCACAGTCAGTCGTTCTCCGTCACACAGGGGGATTCCAGGTTTCTCAAGTTCCCGCCGTCTAAGATGTTCACCCTCCCAGTATTCGCGATACTCCGGGTCCCTCAGGCTCTCACGATCGGTGATCCAAAAGGGAGTTTCTACAGCCATATCCGACTAGTGAACTCGGTCTCCCACATCCCTTACAGTGAGCCGGGACCGAGGTCGACTTGTGCAGACGCGCACGTACGCTGCGACTCGGTTTTCTCGAGATCGTGGTCGTACGCGAGCGTGCACATGAACAGAAGTGGATCAAACTCGGGTTTCTCGTGTCGGTGTATCGATTGTGTCCTACCTGCATGCAACTATCCTGCCCATACTATTTCGGGTGAGATCCAGTCATTACATTCACATCCATGCCATTCATGTGACGAAGGGAAAGAGAAGGGGAGGGGGGGGGCAATTGCCCTGGCGTCGAGGGCCAACACATCACAGCATTCTCGGTGATCTGATGACGATCAAAGGCTAACGATTAAACCCGAACATTCATAGCGAGTGTCTTCAATCAGACCCGGGATTATTGCACGACGCAGATGGATACTAGAAGGTGACGAAATTTGAACTAAGCAAGCATCACAAAACAAGATTAAAAATCCAAAAATATCACTCGAAAAGGGTTCGCATCCATTTCATGCATACACACGAGGCAAAAACAACAAAGAGAAAAAAGAAAAAAACCGAAACGATTTACAAGGAAAGTCCGAGAGGGCCGCAACAAGATCGACCAAGGTAGAAATCAAAATTATATAGATAATTGGAAGAAGAGACCTCATCCCACAGATAGCTGCTTTCTCTCTCTCTCTCTACTCTACACTTTCCCGATGCGGGCAGACCGTCGCTGCGCATCAACACAGAGTTATCACCCCGCTTGGTTCGAGCATGCAAGCCAGGTTCGCCCGTACGCCACAGTCCGTCGCGGCCCGCACGTCAACCCCGCATACCCGACACCAGCTTGTCGGATCGCCCAACTCTCTCGTCGACTCACCTCTCAAGCTGACTCGTTAGCCGACCCTCACTGATCGCACTAACTCCAAAGTTCATAGAGAGAAAACTAATCGCGCTTGCAAAATTTATAGCATGCATGCTTGCGCGAAAGATACGAGATTAAGCCCAAGTGGTCAGGAGGAGAAGAGAGGAAGTGCCTACGTTTGCATGGCCAGGCCACGGCGTGGGGGTCGTAGCCGCACTCCACGCATCGATCCGGTCGTACAGGCGTTCAGGCCAATTAGAACAAAGTATTAAGCATGCAAGACAAAGAAAAAGAAGGCGGGCAAACACGAGGAAATCGAGAAAGAAGAAAGATACAATTACAATTGCGCCCGCCAAAAGCGACAGTTACACAAGATTAAGGGCGCGATCCAATCAGAGCCCAGTTCCTAGTGCAGCAAGATGTGCGCGAGTGAGAAGCACGGCGCAGCAAAATTCAGAGAACCTAAATTCCTAGTCCAAGTCCTAATTGCAAAAAGAAATTCTGAAAAGCCCAAAAACAGTTCCGCGAGCCCGTGGGGGCTCGACGTCAGTTGAAAATTCAAAAAAATGTCATTCTCGGGCGATGATCGCGCCAAAAATTCCTAGTGCTCATAGCAGAACAAGAAGCCATGGCAACCGTTGTCCATCGCGCTCGTTAAGGCGCGGTTACCCCGATCATCGGCGCGGGACTTTCCCGACACCGACCCGACAAATTCCCACAGAAAACAAAAAGAAACGAGGGTACCCATGCAACTTGCCCGACCGACCCATCTCTCCACGGCTCACCCATCCGACCCATCTCTCCACGGCTCACCCATCCGACCCATCCTGTTTCCCAAGGCAGCTTCGCGCTGAAAGTCGCGCGATTACAAAAAATGGTTCGTCACATGGGAGGTGTCGATGGCCGTTTGAATCCACATTGCATTTATGGTGGGACTGTCCGGCTTCGAAGTAGCTCTAAAAATGGCAATAATAGCATTGGCTTGATCTTTCAAACCTAAGGGATAAATGGGATAAAAATCGGGTCTTGATGGGTTGCCAGATTATCCTAGTGAGGCTACATAGCCCAAGTTTGCCGGTCAGCGATTGTGTATGTAATCTTGGGTTAAAGAAATAGGGTTGTATTTGAACGACCGGGAATATGGAAATTGAGGCACAAGTTGGAATCACAGTATGTGGAATGATAGCGGATTGGAAAAGGAAGGTGAGATACTATCGAGGAAGATGTAGTGGCCTTAGATGGTTTCACAGAACATGGGCATGCCAGCCCCAGCTCGCTTTGAAACGGGTGAATTAGTTTCGACTCCATGGTTGGTAACTCTGGGATGGCAACGTGAATGTTTGGTTGTCTTTGGCCTCGGTAGGCAAGCCGATGTGGTAAGTTGTCTTGAGCATGAGATGCGACAAATGGAAAAGGACTCGTCACATCGCCCAGAGTTAGCCATACACCTGAGACAAGTGGTCGCCTTTACTCACACAAGGCCTCTGTGTGTATGTGTATGTAATCTTGAGCTTGGGACTCGATACATGGATAAAGATTCATCACGTCGCCCAGAGTTAGCCATACCCTTGAGACAAGCGGTCGCCTTTACTCACACCAGGCCTCTGTGTGTGCATGTGTGTGTCCAAAGTCTGGCAGACATTTCCCCACCCTCTCACTTTCAGGCAAATGTGCAGTGGAGGGAGCTGACTTGGCACCAGCTCCGCGTGCACTGTGTTAGCTTTGCTGCCTCGGCATGCCAGAAGCACATGATGGTCGAAGAGGTGGCAACCATGTGAAGGCACTGATAAAGACAGGGCATTGTTAGACACTCCTTACAAGTTCCTCGAGCCACAAGGAAAATGCCTTGTGGCTCGTAAGGGATTTTTGCTGCGTTGTTCGACACATCCTTGGGGAGATCCGCCGAGGACATTTCCTTGTGGCCTCCCGCAGCCATTTTCATACGAAAATACGTGGCCACGGGCGGGGGTGTCCGTGGTCCAGCGTCCGCTGTTCGTGTGGAAACGGCGTGGTCCAGCAACGTCCGGCGGGAAAGGGCATGAGGCAGGCCACGAAAAATAAAATAAAAAGGTGGACCTCTACGTTTGAAATTCAAATTTTGAAGTACGGCCGTGGTGACGACGACCACATTCGGCTTGCGGCACGCAAACAGTGCAGGGCTGAATCGGCCTTAGCGGCGGTGTCCCTTCCGCCCA